GCGGAGGAATCAGCTGGAGAGCCTCTTCAAAGAGATGTGTCTGCAGCTAGATCACAAAAAAAGAGAGGTCCTGGAAGCTCTCAGTCACCACGAGGAGCAACAGATTTCTCAGATTCAGGCGGAGATACAAAAACACAAAAAGGAGAAGGATGCAGCCAGCTGTGATGTACGGGAGCTGGAGGCTCTTAGAGATCAAAAAGACCTACTTCTTTTCACCAAGGTACCTACAACATCTCCCTTCCCAGAGATAACGCAGCTCTTGGGCTGGCCTTTGCCCGCACTGTGCTAATTCTACTTTCAAAATGTCTTTTACAGGCTTTTGCAGCGATTCAAACCAGGTAAGCTCTTCCCGACGTGGTCTGCTATTGCACTACACGGAGCTTCAGGTGAGTGGTAGTCCAGCGGTGCAGGTCTGCTAGCCCAGCCTGCATGCACCGCCGGCCCACAGCTCCCTGGGCTCACCCTGGCTGCCCCTTGGGCACGCTGACTGCACACTCTTAGCCTGGCTTCATCAGAGATCTGGAGAAGCCCCAAAATATTAACGAGGTCATGTGTGACTTCATATACAACATGGCCTATTTTTCTTTACCTTCCACACCTGTTCTTGAGACCCATTCTGAGGGCAATTCCTGAATATTTAGGTCCCTGGGTGGGCATGCAAAGGATGGATGAGCTTAGATATCCTGACTCCTCCTCCAGCTTGCACTGCCTTCTGCTTATAATAAGCAAATACGTCAGGAGCTGAAACATGCAGTAAAGTCATGAGTCTACAAAGTTCATGGCTTTTCTCCCGAGCTGTTCCCCCAGTGCCTGCCCAGCGCTGTTCCTCTACCACAGTGCACCGCTCCGTGCACACAGGCTCCTCCAGCCCGGCCGTTCCCCAGCCCTGCATTTCAGATGTAGCAGTTGTCCCTTGGCTGTGGTAACGTAGCACTTCTCGTTTGCTGTCCCAGCAACTGCCCCTGACACCTTGTTAGCTCCTGCTGCAGGGACTTGAGGACTGTAACAATAAACATGATGGTAGGGTCTGTCCTGGCAAAAGCTGCGGCTGAGATGGCTGAGACAAGGTCCTCTAGGAACAGATACTGTCCGTGGAGTGAACTTCATCCTAATGATGCTGAAGAGATTTTGGGGTTCTGGGAAAAGACTGGTCGGAGGGAGAGTCCCTGGTAAAGCTGTAGAGGGAGAGGAGGATAGAAGCTGCTTTCTGTATTTCCCATCAAGGCTGGGTGTGGAGTGGGGGATGCAGCTGTTGGCTCAGGGATGGGCTCAGTGATGGTTTTCTGATGACTTGCTGCTCTTCTGATGTCTTTCTGCATCTTTTAGGGAACGCAAGCCAGTTCCTAACGAAGCTGGTGTAAAACTGCCAACGCCACCCGTTATTTTGGATGAATTAACAGCAGACACTACTCTAAGGCTTTTCCAGCAATTCCTCTCACACATGCAGTCCTTATTTGAAGCACCACCTGGTAAGTGATCACTTCACTATGACAAGCAAGACAGAGAAGCTAACAAAACATATTTAAGAAAGGACTGTAGTAAGACACCAAATACACCAAGCACCTCTAGAAGAACGGATTACTAACATTATATGATTATTTTCACATATGTGTACATAAAAGGGTGCTTGTCCTGGGCTTCAGTGCTTTGGGACATGCCTTGAATACACCGTGTTAAAATGGGCTCTGGGTAAAGAGGCATGGATGTCCTAGGAGTTTTCTGGAGAATTAAGAGAAGAATAGCAACACCTCTTCTGTCTGTAGCAACACTTTGATTCAAAGCACAGGGAAAGTTGAGAACTCATCGCAGCAGCAGCTGGAGTTTGTCTTAAAACTTAAGTAATCTACTCTTTCTATGTAAATAATTCTACTCTTTTGTAATGTTGTGTAAGATCAGCCTACAGTCCCGGTGCTGTGCATGGTGGGATGCTTGACCAACTGAATCGAAAAAATTAGGGTTCTTTTGTTATTCCTCTCTTGATGGTGCTTGAGCCCTTGCTGACAGTGAGGCTAGGGTCAAGACCGAGAGACAGGTAGGGTGGGAAGGCTCTGTCCAGCACGTGTGCGACAGTGTGCGCTGTGCACACCTAACTGACTGCCATCCCTACAGCCTGGGGTACGCTAAGTGCTCATGGCACACTGTGCTCATGGTCACTCCTGAGCTTAGTCTCTGCCATCCCTGTAAGCATAGTCCAGATCTATTCTGGCTAGAAATGCTCAGATCCAGGTTTTCCTAATTAACGATGCCATCTGAGCGATTTTGATTAGTTGCCCAAGTCACCTCTGCTGTTTCAGTCTCCTGAAGGAGTAACTTCCAGAGCAGAAAATGCATTACGTGCAAGAGAAGGCCTGAATAAAAACATTCTGCAAATTCCTGAGTGTAGAATTCACTTCTTATGACTGACCATGTTAAGAAGTTTTGAGAGTTCCAGCAAAGAACTTCAAATGATCCTAAGCAAATAAGGGTTTATAAAATGGCTGTGCTACTGTTCACACATTTCTTGTACGTGGAAGTTAATCTGGGAAGTTTTTAAAAATGCCTAATGGAGCTCTGCAGGACAATGATGGGAAACTAAAATCTAAGAGTTGCTGTAGTTGGAAACAAAAAGCAAAAAGACACTCTAAAGTTGTGAAAGAGCAGCATTTCTTGAAATGTGGTATCAACCCCCTTTAGAATTATATAGGAGCAGCTAAGAGAGGTACAGAAGGTGTGCAGAAGGTGTGTCCGTTAACATGCTTTTAATGACTTGGGTGAGTTGGACTTGAATTGGATGACTTGGATAGGATGCTTTGGATTGACTTGGATTGGGAAATCCAGCTTTTAGCAATGGAGATGTATGCAAATCTGCACAATTATCTGTTAATCATAATGTGTTTTTTTTCTATAGTTCACGAATGTCTGACTACTTTAATGCATCAAGGAGGTGAATTTGCTAACAGTGACAAAATAGTCACTGCATCCTCACGCAGTCGTTCCCAACATGGGTTTTCAAAAATACGCAGTATCCCCTCATATGTGCGCAGCGACCAGAGCTTCTCCAAGGGCTGTCACTTCTGGGATGTGGACACCAGCAATGCAACGTGCTGGAAGCTTGGAACCATGCATTGCCATTTTGAGTGCTACCTGCATGTGTCTCGCGATTACCTCTGTGTGTCACTAGATCAAAGAGTGATCACAGAAAAGAATCATCCTAAAGCCCTCGAAGTGGTCAGGATAGAGCTAGACTGCGGAAGAAATACGGTGTCATTTTATGAGGTGTCTGTCAAGGATGGAGATCCTGCTAAGAGCCTCAGGCTTATAGAGTCAGTAAGCATCCCTTCAGATTATCCTGCCTATGCTACCTTCAACGTGTCTGATGGCTTTCTGAAGCTCATGTAGTGATGTGGGGACAAGGTGCTGGTTTTTATTTCCAGGCCTAGGTATTGGGGCTGCGGCTGCGTGGAGGCTGTGCTAGGCTGGCATATTAGAAATTGAATTTTGGGCTGCTGTGATGGCTCATCTGTGTGAGGGCAACGCCTCTGTGGGGTATATCACAGCACACTGCTGCTTACTGCAAGAGCTCCTATCTTAGTTGTTCTGTTAGTCATGATGGAAATACCGTTAAGTTGCGCTTTTTTGCTCAGCTGTACAAATGCTGTATTGGCTGCATGTTATTAAAGTAATTCAGTTTGCAAAACTCAATAGCAATTTAGTTTATTAAAAAAAGCTGACAGCACAACATTAACTGCTACAGAACTAAGCATCAGCAATGCTGATCTTTGGTCTAATGCATCTTTTACCTCCGCCCTCCTCCACCCGTCCTGCGCAACCTAAGCCATCCGTTGCAGAAGCAAAGCTGGCCAGGGAGGCGAGTAGAGACTAGGCGGTACGACACCTGGTTTCCCTTGCTGTCTGCTGCTGTTGTCCCCGGTCTCTGATGGATCACCTACCTACCTCTTGCCTCAATTTTAATTTTTTTCTGACCTATGCAAAAATCTCACAGCAAAGGAAGTAATAAAGAGGGAAACTCCTATGCCTTTAGTCTGTGCCACATGAAACCTGGATTAGTTCATTCTTATGATTGTCCAAACACCTTGGAGAGGAAGAGATGATATTCCTGCCTGCTGCCGGTGGTTCTGCTGCCTTCGGACAGAGCCACGGTACTTGCATGAAGAAGTCCAGGCAGGAGCTCTTCACCCCAGCAGGGACAGTGAAGGACCTTGAGGAACACTACAGTTTTGCATATGCTAAAAGAAATCCTTGTCCAGTCTTAGAAGAAAGCATCCTGTGTTTTGTTTTTTGCATGTTATACACCAAAATGATATGCAAAACCATGTGGGTAGAGTTGGGTCTCACAAATGCACCTGCAGCGGCTGCTGCTCTGCCTGGTCTCAGGTGGTAGAGGCGCAAAGCGAGGTAAGCACGGCTCGTGACACGGTACAGGGATGTTCCTGTCCTAGAGTGCCTTTCCAAGAGCCTTCACCAGCCCCCATTTCCCTGTCAGCTGCCTGCAGGGAGGAGACCACCCTCAACAAGTCCCAATAAAATTTTCCCCTGGGTTCTCCCTATTTTATCTTTAGAGGAGCATCTGTAACTGTTGTGGAGAAAAAACAGACAAAGCAGAGGGAATTCCTGGCTTACTCCTGACAGGCTCATGCTCTTCTCATCCAGGATTTATCTTTAATTTGCTACCCTTGGCGTGGGATGGAGGATTTTTCCGGGAGCACAGAGGGCTGTAGGAGAGTCATCCATCTCATGCCCTCCCCAGCACCTCCTGCTCCCACCAGCCTGCGAGGGGCTTACGGATGGAGTGATGCTGCCTGAGACAGAGGGCAAAGGTCTAAAAGTGGCTGCCACAGCTTGCAAGAGGTTTTTGTGGGTGGAGCTGGGATGAGGAGCGAACCTCTGCAAAGAGGAAGGACTTGCAGCCTCTGGGCTGGGTCTCCAACCGGGGCACAGCGCCAAGGATGTCTGTTTAGTTTCGTTTCTCGAAGACTGACTAACACACTATTTCTGCAGCAATGGCAAAAGCTAGGGAAGATCTTGGAGGGGCTGCCTGCCTGGAGGATGAACTCAGCTGTCCCATCTGCCTGGGTCTGTACAGGAACCCCATGTTGCTGAGCTGCGGTCACAGTTTCTGCAAGCAGTGCATCCAGAAGGTGCTCAGTGCCCAGCAGCAATCCAAGGCCCCTTACTCCTGCCCCATGTGCAAGCTCCAGCTGGGGCCCATCCTGGAGCTGCAGAAGAATTTCCAGCTGTGCAGCATCGTGGAGGCATTTCTGGCCACCACTTCCAAAGGACAACAGGCCGAGGGCTCTGCAGCGGAGAAGAAGGAGGTGGTTCCCTGTGACTTCTGCCTGGATTGGTCCCAGCCAGCGGTGAAAACCTGCCTGACCTGCGATGCGTCTTTGTGCCAGGCCCATCTCCACAAACACCAGGCCAAGGCTTCCCAGCAGGACCACATCCTGGTGGAGGTGGACGCAGGCAGTGTGGCAGAGGAGGTGAGATGCCCGGAGCACGGCAGGCTGCCGGAGTGCTACTGCCAGGACGAAGGGCAGTTCGTCTGCGCGCTCTGCTCTATCGAGGGATGCCACAAGGGCCACAGCATCATCACCCTGAAGGAGGCACATAATAAACAGCTGGTAAGGAGCTCTCCTTTCCCCATAGCCCCTGCAGGGTTTGCTCCAAACTCCTGACTTGGAGGATGGGGGGAAGCTGCAGGAAGGGCAGTAAGGCTTTCACTGGGGCATGGGGACTGGGGGGTGAGGGCAGGCAGGCAGCAGCTCCGGGGATTTCATGTCCGCCCCAACAGTGACTGGTGCGTTATGCTGCAATTTGCTTTTCATTTCCTCCTTTGTGTTGCCAAAGTAGCCTGGCAGGCTAAGCAGAGGGAGAAGAGCAGAGAAAGGTGTTTGGGGCTGACTGGGACACGGGTAGGTAAATCCTGCAGCGTGTGTTGACGTGGGTCTGTGTGCGGGAGAGCGAGCAAGGGGCAGGCGCAGGGCTCTGCTGTCCCACGGGATCGTTGTGTACAGCCCCACGCAACGGCAAGCTGCCGCTCACCAGGATGCTCCAGGCTGGGATTAAGAAGTATTCCTGCAGGGATTAAGAAGTTTCTTCCTCCACAGAGCCTCGGGGACCCCACCGCTGCTGACCTTTGGGTTGGGAAACAAGTTTTTCCACTCGAGGCCTTTCCCCGCGGGGCTCTGCTGTCCCACGGGATCATTGTGTACAGCCCCACGCAACGGCAAGCTGCCGCTCACCAGGATGCTCCAGGCTGGGATTAAGAAGTATTCCTGCAGGGATTAAGAAGTTTCTTCCTCCACAGAGCCTCGGGGACCCCACCGCTGCTGACCTTTGGGTTGGGAAACAAGTTTTTCCACTCGAGGCCTTTCCCTCTGGCTCTCTCTTCTCTCTGCCCTGTTTTGCCGAGCCAGTGTCCCAGCAGGCACAGAGACGTGGGGCCTCAATGTCCCTGCCTTTGAGTCCAGCTGCTGCCCTTGAAATGCTTCAGAATCAGCTGAGACTGAGGGGATAAAATGCATTTGCTATGCTCACTCACTGCCTTGCATTTGAAATTTCTGCGCTCAATTTAAAGCCCAAGCAAAACACCCTGCAGGAACCCCGTGCGTGGGCAGGAGACAACTGGCTCGCTCTGGACCTCAGGACCTCCTCGGCTGTGGATAACAGGAAGCATCCTTCGCAGTTATACATACTGCAAACTAACTTTCTCCCCCAGGATACTTATAAAAAATTCAGGGCTGCCAAACAGAAGTGGGCCGTGTAGCATAGTAGCTATTTTCTTCATCCCTGGAGCTGGTAAAGGACTAACCCTGTCTATGGGGAAGCAATCTCCATGGGTAAGCTGAGATCTCAGCTGCATATTCCTCTTGTTTGTTTTTTAACTCCTCAGGATAGCCAAGGAAATCAGGAATGCAGCTCTTCAGGACGAATTACAAAAAGGTTTTGGTGCAAGGAACCTCAGTCAAATTTGATTATTTGTCTTTGAATTTTTGAAAAACTTAAACTTGCTAGCTGTGACAACTATCTCATGGAAAACCTAAGCTTTCTGGCATCGTTCTTATTAAAGAAATGGGAATCTGGCAGCTGTGTCTGCCGTGGCCATTCATGGGTGCTTGAGGTGTGAAAACACTGGTGGAGGCGGCCAGGAGCAATCAGAAGCATTCAGGGACTGTCTAATCCTTGAAGAACGACGTTTAATGTCCCCTCTGAAATGTGTTATCGTGCAGTGTAACAGCACTCAGTGATGATGGTGTCCATTAAAATAAACAGCTGAGTGAGTAAGTACTGCTGTTTCACTGATCTTCAGAAAAGATGATTGCTTATTACCTTATCCTCAGATCCCACAGCTGCAGACAGATGTGAAAAGTAGGGATTTGGATCACATTAGGCACATGTGAAGATTCTGGCAGGAACAGCGCTTTAACAGACAAAGTGAGATTTATTCGTTTAAAGTGAAATTTACTTATTCAAAGGGAAAGTTGTTTATTAACCTACCACCTACAAAGTTACACATATATAAAAATTAAACATTGACTTGAAAGATTTCAAGACCATATCAGTTTTCTGTTATGCCCTATCTTTATGAGGAGGCAAGTGAACGCAGTTTACTATGGGACTCACTGGTGAAAGCAGGCAGGTAGAAGGTCCCCGTGCCGTTAGACCAGCTCCACAAACTGCCAGTCTGGTTTAAAGCTACCCGTGCTGCTTCCTTGCTATGAAGTTCAATGGTGTCTTTCCTTCTGCTAGGGTGAACTCTCAGACATGGTGACATGGCTGCAGGAACGTAAAAGCGCTTTAGCTACCGCCCTAGAAGAGCTTCAGAAAAATGAGAATCAGCTCAAGGTTTGTACCCAGATTGTTGCTAATTCAGAGCATTCTTTCTCTACAATTTCCCAGAAATAAGTGATGGCAACTATACTGTTAGAAGCAGATGAATAGAAGGAGATATAGTTCAAAGTAAGGAAAATACTGATGTAAGAAACTGCCAGAAGCCAAGCTTTCTCACAGCTTCCCAGCATAGCTCCACAGGAGCTGGGATCTCCCAGCTGGGAGACTCCATCATTTATTGTGGGTGCACAGACCCAGTTGCAGGCCTGGCAGACCACAGATTGTACATATCATTATGTATGTTTAAAGTTTTCTATCAGTTAAATAAAAGAAAAAACAATTCGAGTCTACAAGTGGGATTTTCAGTGCTCACCAATACAGTTCTCATGTTACTAGCTGAATTTTACCTGATTTTGTTACTATATCAGGGTTAATTTTTGTAACCCTCTGTTTAATCAGATGTTGTAAGCAAATGCATATTGTCCACTTCCTTCTGTCCAGTGCAAAGGACAGATACAATCCTAATTAATAAACAGAGACTCTAAGCTGACATGTTGAGTTCCTGAGCCACTGCACCATTTTCTTATCTGTTCATTTAGGCTAATACGAAAACAGTGACTTCTCAGCTGCAAAAGCTGTTTGAAGAGATAAAGACAGAGATGATTCAGCAAGAGAAGAAGATCCTGAGTGACATTCAGTCCAATGAGAAAAAACAACTGGCACACATTACCGAAGTGAAGAAGGAAATGGAACAGAGGAGAGATGAGGCTGCACAGCACCTTCAGTCTTTGCAGAAGATGAGAGTGCAACCAGATATTTTCCTCTTCTTCAAAGTAAGCAGCGATATTCTGCTTTTATTCATTAATATGCCTATTTCTCAGCAATCTGCCCTTTCTGGAAATCACACTAACAATTTTTTTCCTTTTTTTTTTGGCAATCCTATTTGTAGGAATTTAAACTGGCCGTGGACAGGTATGTTCCACCTGAAAACACTTGTTTTCTTCTTTGAAAAAATACGGTGTTGATAACTGGGATCAAACCCCACTGCCTGTGCCCCTCTGTCCTGGCACCCTGTGCTGCAAAGCTGCTCCCTATTCCAACTGAGCCAGAGGGCACCATGTCCACAGAATTAACGAGGATGGAGAGATATCTGCCTGCCATTCCAGTGGTCCCTTTAAGTTTCAGTTTCCTTGGCAGCTACATGGTTGCTGGATGCTGATGAAAACCACTGGCTTTTATTACCAGAAGAACATTTTTATCAGAGATGAAGCCCATAGGGTTCAGTTTACAGCAACACTCTCTTGGATGCATACTGGTGACACTCCTGCACGTAAGTCCCAGTGAACAGCTTTTGGCTGCACTCATTTCCCACTGATTTTTGCTTCTGCTTGTGGACAAGCTTAATAACTACACAGATTTATTATCCCTTCTCTTGCAAGTGATACATTTAATTTATAACTTATCACCTCCTAACTGACACCTAGGTGTCAGTTGTAATTCACTGATGCAAAACAACACCAACAGTACGTTACAGATCCACCAGAGATTTTGCTGCAGACTAAACTCCCCAGCTGCACCAAGGGCTAGCTCAAACATCTAGCCGGATTTTAAGATGTCACCTCTGTAACTTGTACAAATTAAAGCTGAGTTTGAGCTTGGATTGTAAGGATAACTTTGAATCACCATGTACCTAGGGGCTGTGCTGGCAGCAGCACGGTTCATTACTCACAGCTGTGCCGCAAGTCAAAATCTAGCTTGTGGGATCAAAGTCATTTTCCAGAAGCCTGGACACCATTTAATATGTTTGGCATTTTCTTTCTGTCATGACGGCGGTTGTGCTAGAACAGTAAGAACCTGCCTGCAGCAGGTCAAAGCACTATTCGCACAAGGGTATTAGCAAAACACCTCTCCCTTTCTTATTTTCAGCATTGGAAAGTTGCCATCCACGTTTGGTAAGCAAAAGGCATTGCCAAATAAATAACAATATATAACAATCGCAACTCACTTAACCTTATGAGAGAGCTGTTTACCTGATACTTCATGTTGCCAAAGCACCCTCCTCTTTGTAGAGTCCTTCCTAATGAAGGAGTTTGTTAACTTTCTAAAGCTAAGTGCTTTTCCTTGGTGAAATGACTGCCTGCACCCTAGGATTGAGAGTCAGATTTTCGGCGTCAGAAGGATGAATGTGGCGGTAGTGCAGCTGGATCAGGCCAGGATCGACCGCTGCCGATGCCTGATGAGGGACTTCATGAGTGACTTGGACCCGCTGCTGCAAGGCGTGCACAGTGAGTGATCTGCCCCGAGCCGCTGGCCACGCACCGCTGAGCCCAAGCCGAAAACAGCAAGCCACGGGGTTCAGGGAGCCGGGCTGATGGCCGCCGAACGCTGGCTCCTTTATGTAGGGCGTGTGGGTGGCCTTGAGGGGCTGCTGAGGATTTGGATGGGATCTTGGGGGTGTTGGAGAGGGGAGGGCAAAGGGGGCAGAAAGGCTGTTTCTGGGGATAACAAGGAAGAGGTCTGCTCCTAACCAGTGTAAGGCCAGCTTCTCCTCTGTGTGACGTGGTTTCCTGCTCCCACCTCCCTCCCGAGTCTTTGGGTGCTCAATCGTGCCTTCGAGAAATGTCCTCTTTGTTTGCCCACCCCCATCCCCACCATGAGATCCAGGGGCACAGTACCAAGTCCCAAACTTGAATGCATTGCCAGCTTTGTAAAACATTCTTCTCCATCTTTCTTAGGTGAACTCACCAACCAGATTAAATGGAACAGGTAAATCCTTTTCTTTACTTACAAAACGTTCCCTGCAGGTTTTTCCAACAGTTGTTCATTTAAGAAGCATGTGTCCTGTGCTCCTGTGCTTCGGTCTCAAGGAGAGCCAAGCAGAGTCTAGAAGGCTATTCTTTACCTCAAAAGAGGGGGTCAGATCTATTCACGTCTCTTACTTTGTTATTAACAAGATGTGATTTGTGTTTTACAAGGCACTAACATTCAACACTGTTTCTTTACTGTGCGGCTTCAGATACCGGTACCTCTTGAAACTCAAAGTGTTCAAAAATACTAGTTGTTCCTCAGGACTCTGGCCTGGGGCTGGGAATCTTGCAGAGAAAATCTCTAACATAAAAATGTGAACAGCGTTTTGTTGCATGCATCTCCTCTCCTTGCTAGAGGTGAGACCAGCAGGAGTGGAGCCTCAGGGCACAGTTCTCAAAATCTGCAGTGGGCAGAAATCTCTGGAAACTCACCAGAGAAATCATTTATCTTCACCCTGAGGGAGGGACTGGGTTTGCTTCCGTACTCGGTAAAAGCCTGAGCCTGCTCCAAGGAAAGACCGTGGAGGGGTTCCCAGCAACTGGACAGGAGCTGGATCAAACCCAGTGCCTGAAAGGATTCCCAGACAAATCCAAATGCTGCAGGAGATATTAAATCTGTAGACAGTATTTCTTTTCAGATAGCACTAGTCCAATGCTCAAATAGATTTCTTCTGGGTGCAGTGGTGCATCTGTTCTACAAGCTTTTTTGAAGAAATGTTATTTAGAAGTTATTTGAAAGATTCTTTTGTATTTTTTAATTGCTGCATCTAAAGTTCAGTTCACAAACAAGTTTTTCTTAATTCATAAATTCAGAATAAAATCCTGCTTTCTTCATCACTTTTTAATTTTTGGAGGGGAAAAATACTCTCTTCTGACAAGCATTTCTTAGGGACAAGTTAATGGTAAAATTTTACTTTGGAAGGGATGTGTTTGAGAACAGCTGTTCAGTGAGGGAGTTGAGGACAATGTAGTCTTGCCCTAAATGCAAACATATCTGTTTTACCAGGCACATTTGAAAAACCAGAAAAAAATCTTGTTTTCTTTTTTCAATAATTCATGTAGCTGATAATGGATGGAGAGCACAAGAGGCATGTGGTGCAGATAAGCGATTAAATGGAGTTTTAATTGCACAGTGCAGCTTAACAATACAGTTGCTTTCATTTAACATAATGCCAGCCTCAAATTTAGAGGTATATTTTTAAATAAGCGTACATGGCCATTTATTTGTCTTGTGAGCTGAGTCTTCTACAGACACGTTCATGTTTGTGTTCTATACAGAACCAGAAAGTTGCTCAAAACAGGGGAGGGAGAAGAAGTATTTTTTCTGAGGCAATGCAAAGCTGTACTTGGAAGCAACTTGTCAAATATGTTATCAGCATAGGAATAAAATATTACTTTATTATTACAGTAAGTGACGTTTTTCCATCTTGTGTATTCCTACAGCACAAAACCAACCGAAACAATCAGCGTGACTCAAATGGCAGATGTGAAGAAAGTGTATGGTCTACATATGCTCAGAAGTAAGGGAGAGATGAAAAAAAGAAGTCAGAACTGAGATGGAGAGAAAAAGTTAAATATTGTCAAAAAGTCCTCTAATAATGGGGACCTGCCAAGTGTCTTGATCTCCCCTGCATACATACTATTAAAAGCAATTCTGTAGCATATGCAAATTTAGAAAAGAAGTGCTAAGAATGAACATAACCATAAGAAAATCTCCAGCTTCTGCTGTCTTCCAAACTGTGGACTGTATCATTTCATGGTACTAATGATACTTGTGTACTATTAATTGTGGTGACTATGTTGTCATGTGGTTGGATAACCGAATAAATGGCTACAGATACAGATAAGCAAGGCTGGCTGATTTCATACCATCACCAGGAATTAATTGTTGAGAGCATTGTTTGTGGATGGCTGCAGTAGAAAGCTGTTCAGGACCATGCCACAGATTTGGATTATCACATTTAACACAAGTGATCTTTGTAGCAAAGAATTAATTATCTTTGTGTGAGTCAGCCTCTAAGCCACATTTTAACACTTCTACAGAGGGCTGAAAGAGCCATGCAAAATACCACAGTCAGTAGCATACGAAGATGCTTTACTGGCCACATGTCCATGTGTATGGATGTTCCTTCTGATCAAGCACATGCTGCACTTCCCAGATGTAGCCCTTATTGCACGTCAGCTCCACAAAGGGATTTCATGGACACTGCCAGGCAGATAGGCTCAGTCTTTCTGGCTGTAGGCTGCTCTGTGCCTAGCTGTGGTTCAGATCCAACACGTAGGTTCACAACCTGGGTGTTTCTTCTCCAAATGATAAAAATACTCTACTGCGAACCAGGGTTGCCAACATAAACATTTTTAAGAAATAAAGGCTAAAGTTCTGGGTGCTTCTATATAAATTAGGATTCATAGCTACAACTCTCTTCTGTCACTTGTGATAACCAACATATACCTAATTGCAGGGATTAAAAACAATAAACTCAGCAAAATCCACCTCGGATTTAGAGTAATGTCTTCCTTCGTGGTTTAAACGGATTCGCCAAGCTGTACTGGATCCGCAGTCCTTGCTCTGCCTCACACATCAATTGTCAGCATAACAAAAAGTGTGTGGCCAAATTTTGGGAGCTCAGCAGTAGCTCAAGGTGACTTTGCAAATATTCCTCATTGCTTGAAGCCAGGGAGACATGAAGGACAGCTCAAAATGAGCCTGTCCTTCAGCACTTTTATTACCTGGGCTTCTCTCTGGCTGCCAGGTAGTTATTTCTTTCACCCCAGGTGAAGGAGCCATGACCAGCCAATGCAGTTCGGTGCTGCTGCTGCAGACACCAAGTTACTGCACTGCTGCAAATCACTACGGAGAGCGAGAGATTTACTCCAGCACGGTATTTAAGTCACTCCCTCCCTCCCATCTCACAGTGCATCCTGCATTGGCTACACTCAGGAGACATCAGCACCTCTGTAGCCCCTTCTGAAATACCAGTGTAGCCCTTCCTCAGTGAAACCAGGATTACAAACGCGTATTCCCGTGCCTCCAGGCAGAGGCAGCTGTGGGAGAAGGGGAGCACTGCTCTCCCCTCGCTAGCAGAGGGAAAGGGCAACTGGCAGCAGGGTGCTGAGCAACTCCGGCACTCCCAGGCAGCTGCCCTCACCAGCGTGTTTCTGGATATATGGCTGCCCCCTTGCCTGCGAGCAATTCTCATGCTTTCTAACACCATTTCTGACAGTCTTGGAGAAGCCATGATGATATTTTCTTTCCCCAGGGAGGATGAGGTACTGACTTTACCTTTCGTCCAATGCCAGCTGTCAGCTCCCTGAATCTCTGAGCCCCTGGCAGAAATGTCCATGACCTGTTTAGAGAAGGGTCCCTCCAGAAACCTTGACCGCAGATGACCATCCAGTTCTCACGAATGGAGTCACATTCACAAGAGGCTTTCAGAAGGGCTGGGAGCAGTCGAGAAGGGAGTGGGTAAAGGCCATTTGTGCTTTAAGGAAGAGCTCTGCAGCCCTCCCTAAACCGTTGTAACGCTGCCTTTGAAGCATCGATCACAGATAATACAGTATCACACAAAGACTGAAGTACTTAAGTGTAACTCAAACCCAGGACCAATGGGACTTACTGACCAAAACGAAGACAATAATTGTCTGGATGGAACTTGCCTAGCATCTTACTTGGAGGGAAAAGTGCATGAAGCTTTTCACTGCTAGGCTTATTGGACTTGAATTTGGGGCTGATGTAGACACTTGCCAAAACAGAGCAAAAGAAGGTGACTCTATTGTAGGCAAAATTAATGTGATCCAGAGATAAGGACTTTATAATTGCTGCTATATGGCAAAAGCAAAGGATTTCATTTCAAGTAGATTGGAAAAAAATACATTTTTAAATACTGCTGCAGGCTCACAAAGCTTTTGGATGAAAATTAATATCTAGGAAGGCAGATTTTCTGAGTTAGATACTAAGCTGATGATGCAGTTTATTTCTCCCATGCGTTTGCCTGCTATAGTATTAGCAAAGATAGACTCCTCAGAATCTGAGACTTGTTGTATTTTTAATATTCCATGCATTAGCCTTGAGGAAGCAAAGAGGGGTGAAAGACTAGATGAAAACAATCTAAGAAAATACACTGGAGCCCAGCAATTATTTAACTAAGCCTTCTAACCCACAACAACACTCTGAAAATTTTAACACCTACTTAGTTTTTGACTCTAGGAGACAATACAGGACCATGGCATACACTGAGAGTGTAGCAATTCTGCACAGGTATTTGTGCGGAACACTCTTT